CCCCCCGAGGGGGGATGGCCATGCCACAATCCGTTCTCCTCCTTTCTCCTCTTGGGATCTTGGGCACGCATGCACACGTGCCCGGCGTGAGTTTAAGCCACCAGGTCCGGGACTCAAACCGCGGTCGACTACGTGGGAGTCCAGCAACATAGCCATTATGTTAACTTTCTATGCCAGACTTTGAACCAGAGCTTTGCACACCTTTTCTTATTATGTAGTACCACTGTAAAGTGTAGGCTCTATTAATATATCCATTTTTTAAAATGAGGAAAGTGAAGCACAGACACATTTAAAAACGCACACATACACACACATTGCCTAGGTTACAGACACTGTAAACCACTATTTATGCCTCTTGTTTCTGAGAAAGCCTAAGGAATTCACGTTCACTGAGCATCCAGAATGTGGCAGACCTAAGGGAGGTTGGGCCAGCAGGGATCTCAGCCTCCCAGCAAAGGGCCGCTGCCTACCTGCAGCCTGTGGGCTCTGCTCTGGCCAACTGCCAATGAACATCTGAGCAATCTCCATGCGCTGATCAAACTGGTGTCTTCAGTTGACCAAGGGAGGATGTGAACACTGAGACCTGAGACTTGTATGAATTCATCTCACTTTATAAACTTGAAATCGAAGGTCCCAGAGTCCAAGAGATAAAAACCAATTTGCAAACTTTCAAAAGACAAAAGCCAGAACACAGGACTGTAAGACATGAAGGATGGGTTTGACTCTGCAGGTTCTCTCAGCTCTTACTTACAGCAAGGGAGGTGGGAAATGCACCCCCCATCATTCTGCTCCAAGGAAAACAATCATATTTCAGACCAGCTAATCCATTTGACCAGTTAGAGATGAATCTTGAAGTCAGTTAACCTTGGGGTTGAATTTTAGCCTAACTCCTTGCTTGTAAACCCCTGGGCTTCTGTTTCCTTGTCCATAATATTCCTCATCTGTAATAATAGGTAACTCATAGGGTTGTTCTGAAGATTAACTGAGGTGATTCATGGAACACTTGGTAGAGTACTTGGCATAGTAAGTTGTCAATAAATATAATTATTGTGTTGTCATCACTATCATCATCATTTTTCTAGTGGCTCAGGTCAAAACCTCAGAGTCGTTCTAGACTCTTCTCTTTTGCTCACACTCCACGTTCACTTGATCAACGAGTTCAGTCAGTTTCTCCTACAAAATCTCTTGACTCAGACTACTTATCTCATCCATTGTCACTGTCTGGCTCAAGCCATCACCATCTCTCACCTGGATTACGATAGTAGTCTCTTCTTTCTGCATCTAGTCTTTCCTCACTTTGGTCTAATCGCCATATAACATTCAGAGAAAACCAGTTAAAAACCAAGTCACATCACATCTAACTCTTCTCCAAACCCTCAGAGAACATTCCATGAAGAAAGGTCAAAGTTTATGCAGTGGCATACAGGACCCCCTCCAGCTCACTCTGCTCCACACCCATTCCTCTGTCAGGAATGTTCTTTACCTCCAAATAACCACATGGCCCCTCATCTCCTTCTGTCTTGGTTAAAATGTTGCTTCTCAGTGAGGCTTTCTTTAGACTTAAACTTGGAATTTCTCTGACATTTCCAGTCTCCAACTCTGCTTCTTTTTTCTCCTCAGCACATGTCGCTAACATAGGATATATTTTACTTTTTAATTTTGTTTATTTTCTGTCTTCTCCAGTGACAGCATGGATTTTTATCTGAGTGTTCACTGTTATATCCCCAATCTCTAGAAGATTACCTGGCATATGACATAGCCTACAAAATATTTATTGAGTGAACAAATGAATGTGTCCCCATTATTGTCATTGGTCCCATCCATCTAGATCTCAGATTCCAGCATTTGGGCTGCCACAATCTCGTTCTCGCCCTTTCATGGTGGCCACTTAGAAGCTTTTGGTGTGTGTGGACCCTCTGGGAGATCTGCCATTTGGACGGTCAGTTCAAGTGTTCCTCTTGCACTGAGCTTGTGCTCTTACAAACTCTTACAACTTCTACTATTTTAAATCTGAGCCCAGTATTGCCAAATCTGCAAGGAAGCCAGGGAGGAGCCAGAGCTACTGGCAATAGGCCAATGCCTGCTGGCGATGATGGATGGGGGGCAGCGAAGGCAATGATGGTGATAAAGCAGGCCGTGGCGAGGCATCGATCTGTGAGGGAGGCGAAAAGTCCCTGCTTCCCATCCATTGATTGGGAGTTAAATGAAAACAATCATTCACTTTTGGGTTCCATTACCTAACAGGTGTGCTGACTGGCAGTGGGGTGCGTGCCAGGTGTCCCAGGTCTGACTTTCTGGGCTACACTTTACAAAAGACTGCTTTATTGAACTTGGAACCTAACCTCAGTGGTAGAAGTGATTTGCACCTTCTCCAAGTGCTCCAGATGGATAAAGGGGTTGAAAAAGATAAAGTGCTCTGACTTCAAAGGGAATCAATGACCCCTTGCCCTGGCTCAGCCCACCTGCCTCAAATGTGGGTTAGTGAGGGACCTTCCAATGTTATCAGAAGGATGAAAGGAAAATGTGAGTCCCCACCTTTTTGGGCCAGAAAGGCCTTTCCTACTGCCAACATCACATGCCAGCTCCTTAAGGTTGCTTCCAGAAAAGGGTCCCTCTGACCCTCACCTACTGCCCAATGTGAGAAACCAAGGAATTGAGAGCATTAGGTCTCTTAATGAAGAGTTGTTTATGACCCTCCTTCAATGCAGTGGGCTCAGAGGAGGTAGGAAGGAGCTCCACAACCTCTCTTCCCCTTCCACATCTGGCCTTCGTAGCCTATCACTATCTTCTGCCATATTTCTATATACGCATCTGCAGGGCAACTGGGAGGACCCAATTTAGCTTGTTAGCTCCAGGACCTTCCACCAGATGGCATGAGTTCTTCCTCCCTCTCTGCCTCTCCCACAATCCCTGACCGCAGAAATTTTCCTGTAACAGTGGCCCGTGATAATAATGCCTTTTGTACTTACCATGTGTGAGGCACTATGCTAAGTGTCTTACATGCCTAGTGGAGATTATCCTTCAGGAACTCTGAGGCCAGACTGAGTGGGTTAGCTTCCTGGTTGTAGCGCCCCCTGTTGTATGGCCTTAAGAAGATGGGTAATTCTGTTGTGCCTGTTTCCTCATCTGTAAAACCAAGATAACAATAATAATAATAATAATAATACTATATACCCCCTAGGGCTGTTGGAGGAGTATGGACTTAAGTATACATAAAACTCTTAGAAATGAATAAATATTGGGACTGACAAATGGCATGGTGATAAAGGTGCTGGACTTCCGCATGGCCAACTGTGGTTCTAGTCCTGGACCTGGCAGCTTGCTTTCTCACTTTTCTTCTCTCTCTCCCTCTCTGGTCAAATGAAAAAAATAATAAGTAAAATAAAATCATTCTTTAAAAATAAATGAATAAGTACTATATATCTAATCGTTAAATAAATCTCACTTGACCATGGATGGCATCTCCATGAACTCGTGACAATTACTTCCTCCATTTTATACAAGAGAGAACTAGAGTTTAGAGAACTTAAGCTTCTGAAAGTTGTATTGTTTCCAGCATTACTGAGCCCAAAGAATCCTGATATATGTCTTCCAGATTATTCAGTTTCATGGACCCTTGTGTCTCACATCCTGTCACATTTATGAAAACTTACCCATTAGTTGTTGAGCACAGGGAAGGGCAGAAAGTGGGCCAACCAAAGAATCTGCTTTGGGAGATGGGGGAGGGGAGAGACTCTCATGACTTCCATCCTGACCCTGGCTTTTTCAGACAATCCATCCTCAAAGCAATCCAGGAACATGGCCGAGGAGCTGGGCAAAGCTGTGGAGATCATGGGCAAAGGCAAGAACGGGGTCGGCTTTGGCAAAGTGGACATCACCATAGAGAAGGAGCTTCGTCAAGAGTTTGACATTAAGAAGGCCCCGGAATTGAAACTGTTTTTTGAGGGAAACAGATTGGAGCCCATCAGCTGTCAAGGTAATGGTGTTTCTGTGCCGAATTTGTTCTCACATAAAGTCCACTCGGCAGCCAGAGTGTATAGGAGGAAGGCTTTGCTCCATGCAGCCTCTCAGGTATTTAGGTTCCTTCCAGCTTGTGGCTCTGCCATTATCCAGGGCCTTGGAGCCACCTGTTTTTTCCCTTTGTATCCAGCCAGTTGTTAGGGTAAGGTGACAGAAGATTGCCACAAACGGTGTTTAAGGCCCATGCTTGGATATAGCAAACATAATTTCTATCCACACTCCATTGACCAGAATTCTGTTTCAAGGCCCCATACAACTACAGGAAAGGCTGAGAAATATGATTCAGCTCTGTATCACAAGGAAAAGGAAACAGGGTTTGTGAACATGAACATGTAGCTTCCTCTACCACAGCTTGAATCTTGATGGATGAACCCTAAAAGCAAAATAGGTGGGAGAATGGGGTGCATGGCTTATAAACTACAAAGATTAAGTCTCTAAGTCCATTCCTGTCCCTAATCTTCCACATCAGGATGATTTTGACAGGGCCCCAAGCCAGGGAAGCACTAGTTAGCCAAAGGGAAAATTGGGAGATGATGGACAAATATAGGTTGGGGATGGGGAGTCTAACAAACTCAGTAACTTCTATAATCATCCATGACATTAATTCATTTACTCGACATCCATTCATTGACAACTTACCATGTATCAAGCCCTTTAACAAAACTGAGAATTTTGTGCCTCACATGGCAATGGTACTAACTTTTCAAAAGTTATATATATAAGTGCATAAATGTTTGCAGGATAGATGGAAAGACAGATGGACAGAAGGATGGATCGATGCAATTAAACTGATAAAAAGCAGTAAAGCTCAGCACTGCCTCTCCTATGCTAGTGAATGTTCCCATTTTCTGTGTTTTAAATGATCGAGTCTCAGGAAAAAGACTGCCTTTCACAGGGCCTGGTATATATAGCTGATATCCAGAAAGCCTGAATGAGTGTTCTAAAAACCAAAGGAGAGGAAGAGTTCCACCTCTTGGAGATGCTGGGTGCTGAGGAATACCTTGCAGTTCTCAGAATGGACACAAGAGGGCAGGAGAGACACAGGCAGACTTACATGGGAACGTGAATCTAGAGACCTGGCAGTGCTGTGGCTCTCAGCATGCTTGGGCAAAAGGAGTGGTCAAGAGGGAGGGCAGGAGCAGTGAGAGAGTCGGCAGAGACTGCTGCTTCCTATGGGTACTGAGTAGTAACCCTCAACACTAGGGATTCACTGATCATAAGCGAGGAGCCCTTTGTGAAATGTGGGCGTTGGGAGGGCTGTAAAGACTCGAGAAGCCCTCGGTTACTTTGTGTAAGTCTGCAGGGACTCACGGCGTAGCTCAGGTGCTGGGATGCCCTTCCGTCCTGAAATAGGTGAGACCTGACCCTACTTAGAGATGACGATAACAATGTGGCAATTTCTCTCCCCTGGGTAAGGCTGGCAGAGAGGGCCTCCAAGACCTTTGATCTCTGAGTCCCCCTTTATGGTGAGAGCCAGTACCTGGGACTTCCTCTAACACACAGGAGGCACCATCTTCACCTGCCCCAGGAACTCTCTTCCCTGACTGCCTAGGTCAGATGCCTACTCCATTTCTGTGCTCCCTAGCACCCACACTCTCTCCATCGAGACACTCACTTCACAGACTTGTGTCTGTGTCTACCCTGCTGGGAGCACCACAGAGGCCGAGGCTGACCTCATGTCCATTCTCAGGGCTTCTGAAGATGCTACCAGAATTGGCGACACCACCCTCCGGATCAAATCCTTATCACAAGCCCCAGGAACAGCCATTTCCTTTTTTTGAACCTCAGTTTCCTTGTCTGTAAAATAGGAATGATGGAAGTATCTACCCTAGGGTTGCTGGGAAGATGAAACCTGATGTATACCTGGAGCAACGACAGTGTCCCAGGCACTGTTCTCTACCCTTCTCATGTGTCACAGCAACCCAGTGTCAGAGGTGCTTTTACAGATGGAAATACTAGGGCATAGAGAAGTGGGATAACATCCTGAAAGCTCCCCAGCTAGTAAGCAGTGGGTTCAGCAACAGTTTTCTGTAAAGGGCAACATAATAAATATTTTAGGCCTTATTAACCAGACCATATCTGTTGCAACTACCCAACTCTGCTGATGCAGGGTGAAAGGAACCATATGTTAATTAATGGGCACTGCTGTGTTCTAATAAAGCTTTATTTATAAAATCAGACAGGGGCCTGGCTTTGGTCAACTAGCTGTAGTTTGTTGAACCCTGCTCTACAGTGTGCTGTACTCTTAAGTAAATGGCAGGTGCGTTTATTATCCTTATCAAACTGGTAGTTTTCTGACTCCAGTCCAGTGCCTAAAACACTATGTTCTTAGAAGTTTCTGAGTTTAAACGGGGTGGAATTATGAGGGCTCACTGCAGGTAGGCATGAGTTAAGCCAACTCACGTTTCTTTTTAAGTTTACATATTTCAAGAGACATAGAAATAAAGAGACAGAAGAAAGGCACTCTTAACAGAGTCTTCAAGCTGCAGTCTCAGCTGGTCAAAATCATAGTCACGTGACATGAAAATGCACCTGACGTGCTGAGGGAGGCCCTAGGACATGAACCCTGGACCTTTCCTATATGTTACTAGTTTCTTCATCACTGTGCTACTACCTGGTTCTACCAACTCATGTTTCGTCCTTTCTCTCCCTCAGTATTACACCAAAAAAGAAAGAGTCATTAGGATGCCAGGATGGAACCCAGGGCTAAGATGTAGGGCATCTGGATTTCCGGACAAGCACTTGCTATAGAACGTGAACAAGCCTTTCAGACTCAAGCTTCCAATCTCTCATTTTCTACACATGATGAGTAATGCCAGTTCTGCCTACCTGACAGGGCTCCTCTGAGCTAAGAAGGGAACAGTGCATTACACAACTCTTTCAATGTACCTTTACGAAAACCTCTTTTAGGAGGAATTTAGTCCTTGCTGGGTCAAAGCCCAAGTCCCATTCTCCTTCAGTCTCCAAGGACTGGTGGTGGGAAACTTGGTCTTGGCCACTTTCCTAGAGGGAGGGGGACTCAAATTGCCTCTAGGGCTTCTATTAATGATACATTTGTTTTGTGCCTGGAAATATGCAGCCAGGTGCTGCCCTCAGTCAATCATTGACAAAACGTTCACACCTCAGTTGTCACCATGTCCTCTGGCTCGGAGCCAACTGCCAGGGCAGGCCTGGTGCCCAACAAGGGCAGTGCCTGATCTGCAAGCACTCAGGAATAAACTACTGCTGCGTGCAGAGCTACCTCAGTCCCATGGGATGAACAACTACTGCTGCGTGCAGAGCTACCTCAGTCCATGGGATTCACGGAGGGATGAATGGAGGGATGAACGGAGCTCAGACATCTCAGAGAAGGAGGGACAAATGGAACTCAGACATCTCAGGGAAGGTGGCCAAAGACCAAGTTGCCTAGTGATTTGTTCACCTCATTCATACACCCTGTAATGGTTTCCTGAGCACCTAGTATGTGCCAGACACTATGGGAGTTACTGGGAGCTCAGACTGAGCAGCTTAGCAAAGCATCATCATCATCATTTCAGAAAGTGATAGATTCAATGAAGAAAACGGAGCAGGTCACAAGACTGAGAAGAACTGATGCGAGGTGGGAAGTAAGAGAGGACAAAATTGAGAAATGAGTAAGCAGAAGAGCTGCCTTTGAAGAGCTGAGGAAAGGGCAGCCCAGATGTAGGGGCCAGAGGATGTCAAAGCAAGTATGCTGGAAGGAGCCTGGAGTGCA